CTTGGGCATCGTCAAGAAATTTATTTTTCACCTAAATACATAGTTTATTATCATTATTCAATATTGTTAATGTTAAACATGCCTACTATTAAGTTTTACTACATTTGTTCGGCTTTTGCCGTTTTGTTCATACCTTAACAACATGGATTTAAATTGAATTAAATATTTATCTCAGCAATTTTTAACAAATATTGAAATATATGAACTAATATGAGCAAATTAAAATAATTACGCAGAAGACACTGGCAAAATGGATGAATCTCTTGTGAGTCCATTTTAGTCACCCAAATTATTTTAAAATATTATAAATTAAAGGAAAAGAAAGTAAAAAATTTCAATTAAGTTTTGGGAATATTTCTTATAATCATCAGCTTGAAATATCACGGATGAAAGAGAAAGATGCACAGTGTGTAGACAAGCCAACGTGCAAGCCAGATCCCATCGTATGTACAGAGGTAATGACACCATTGACTAATTGTTGGTTATCTTGATTATGTTTTAGATTTGATACCCCTACCAAATGGCTAATATTTGTATTGTATATAAAATGTGAATATGTTATTTCATTTCTTTTTTACAGGTGATGAATGTTCTAAAGCAACATCTAGATGAGGTATATCCGTCTAAGAAAGTTGTTGGCTATTCTCTCAACATACTTTGCTTTGTCTGTATGAAGCCTGAGAAACCACACTTTCAAGAACTTGAGTACTGCTTAAAGAATGAATATATACATTGTTATAAAACAGTAGTGCCAACAGTTAAAGTACAAAATTTATTTGTAGCAGGTATGCGATTGGATTAGATTTATTTCGAAATTCTCAAATTAAAACAACTAAAAAAACAATGTAATTGCAGAATAACTCCTTAAGCATTTCTGCTTCATTCCAAGGTGTCTTTATTAGTATTGATTTTATTGAAATAATAATTCATAAAATTGTTTTTTTGTGGAGGAAATCTGAATTCAGGTTGAGGATCGATAGTAAACTTAGAGAATTCAAGATGAATAAATTAATTTTCATTTTACAGATTTGCCCGTCGATAACGTAAGAAAAATATCAGACTCGGACCAAATTGTAGCTGAAAAGCTCAAGACCTGTTACAAAACAAACGAAGAAAGAGGAAGTGTAGAAGGTATGCTAGTGTTGTCTTTTGAAATGATTAATAATTAAATTTTGTTGTTAATTTTGAAA